GGAAAGAGGGAGAGGGAAAGAGGGAGAGGGAAAGAGGGAGAGGGAAAGAGAGAGAGGGAAAGAGGGAGAAGGAAAGAGGGAGAGAAAAAAGGTGCTGATATATCTTGAATGCTTGACAAGACTTTAATTCTAATTATAATACCTAAATGTTGCACTATCAGTAGTATCACATCAATTCATTTATTTAAAGTCATATTATTTGTCCGTAATCATGGGATTGTTGTGCCTGATTGAAGCTATTAGCTCTATATATTTTTTAGCATGCTAATATTGTTTATTGAATTCGTTTTCTTCTGCGACTACATTCATTTTTTAATTTTCAATTTTTTTAGATTTGTGTTAAGTTTGATAAAGGAATTCTCTTAGCACTTTCTGACATCATTCATCTTATTAACCTTAAAAAATTGCAAAAAAAAGAGCAGGAAGAAATTTCCCATCAATTTTGAGCAATAAGCAAAACATTCTTGGATTACAATTTCGAAAAAAAAAAAACATTCAAGAGATTTTAGCATAATTTTGCTAACGTCTGTTATAGAAATTCGAAATTTTTCTCTAATGAAATGAAATGAAATTCTGAACTAAGTACTGTAGTAGTTATACAAAAATTTTTTCGATTTAATAATTATTAATAATGGTTATATAATAATAAATGTAATTTGTAGCATTAAATAATAATATTTTTACTTTCAATTTCAATATCCTTTCTTCTTTTCATTCTTTCATAATTTCGATCTTTTAGCTAACTGATTCAAATACTGTAAAGATTATAACGAAAGAAGCGACAACATTACAGTAAATAAGAAACATTCGTTGCAGCACAACAAATTATGGTAACAGTTTTTCGCAATATCAATAATTATCACTTATAATCCATTTATTATCAATTTACTGATAAGCATCCTTCTGTGGATAGTTAAATATTTACTTTGACTTATATTTCCATCGAAAACTAGCCGCCATTCATTAATCGCTAAATCGCAAATTACTTGTCTCCATCAATAGCTAATGAAATAACAATAGCATAGAGATAAAAATAATGAAAATAATTTAATGAAAATA